AGAAAACCAAGGACCATTTTGAAAATGACAGCACAGAGCAATCACTAAGGTGTAGTCTCTTCAGGGTCCACTGTCAGAATGAATCACTCCCGCTGTCTTCAGGCTTCATGTCTATCTGCCAAACCCCAGGTTTCTTGAGAATTGAATTGGCCCTCTTTTCTTATGTGCTTTTCCTTCAGCTAGACAGCTTTATTGGTAGACTTAATGGTGAAGAGTAAGAGTAGGAGAGAAGAAAGTTATTTTACCAAAAGAATATGCTGTGGATGATGGGCAGGCCAAACAGCAGATGTCTATCACACAGGAAGGGTCTCCTGTGGCCTGCTTAGAGCCATGGTCCTAAAGCCCACCTGGATTTCGGAGTTGGAGGACAGAGCTGAGCTTAATTATTTAGTACAAAGCTGATAGTGCGCTAGCAGTACAGTATTGGAAAGTGTTTCATTATAAAAATGATATCCTCCTAGAAGAAACTTAAGAGATCACAAAAAAAGTCTAGAGCACCTGATTATTGTTTTGGATGCTGGGAATTCGAATCCTGGGCCTTATACATGCTCTGTACTTCTGAGCTATCCCCCCCAGGCATAGAAAAGAGAATTTCAAACACTATCTGTAATCCTACTTCTCAGAGAAAACCACAGTTAATTTTTTAAGTTGTTTCTTTCCTTCTATGGATTCTTTTTCATGAAGTCGAGATCAGACTGTGTATATGATTTGGTATTTAATGTTTAAGCAAGAACAATAATCCCACAACTGCTAGAGGAATACCTTTGTGACACTGGCCTAGTGAACAAACATGACCTGTAGCTGCCCTACCTGTGGAAGAGGCAGAAGGGACCTTTCCCTAGTACTGGGGCCCAGGCCAGTATTGCCCAGCTAGGGAAGTTGCCAAGGCCTGTTCTTCATCCCAGAGGACATTCTCTCTGGACACAAGCCAAGGTGGATGGGAACTTCAATGGACCCCGCCTTGTGTAGTGAGGGGGCTGCCACCTCCTCGTTAGAGCTCATAGAATCTCCTAGTGTGTTTGTTTGTTTTTTGACTCAGGAAATGAGCCTATGGGCCATCCTCTTGGGTTTTAGTTGGTTCTGATGAATTTCAACATGTTCTTCTGACACGAATAGATCTCATTTCCATCTAATCTTTAAAACAGTCTCTACCTTTATTTAGTCATTTGAAATGATGTTAATATTCTTTCATGAAGAATGAAATCACCAGGAAACGGTATAAAGAAAGAATCCTAGTTGAAATACAGCCATAGCCGTCTTAATAATGCACTGTGGAGATTCAGATGTGTGTATTTAAGCTCCTGAATCTGTGTATTTAACAAGTTAAAAACTGAGAGTTGGCCTGTTTCAACCTTTGCTGACATTTGCTAAGCAATGGAATTCAAGAGGATAGAAGGGTTTAGAAGTCTGTTATCCAGAGCTAGAGGAATCTGGTCACTTCCTGCAATTAACTCTTGGGAAAGAGGAGTCTGCCTCTCAGAATTGGGTAAAAATCACTTTTTTTTTTTTTTTTGAGATGAGCTCTCACTATCTCACTAGGTTGAGCAGACAGGCCTCAAACTTAAAATATTTCTAAAAAAAATTTTTAGTTGTAGATTGACACAATACTTTTATTTATTTATGTGATTCTGAGGAATGAACTCAGTGCCCCACGCATGCAAGGCAAGCGCTCTACCACTGAGCCACAACCCCAGCCCCAAACTTGAAATTCTGATTCGCCTCCTAAATAGATGGGATTACAACCATGTGCCACCACCTCTGTCTAAAACCACTCCTGAAGGGCATCGACTTTCAGCCACAGAAGAATGTTATTCAACTTCGCTGTTTGATTCATTCCAAGTGACTCGAGGGGCCAGCCTCTCACTCCAGTACCTCTAGGGACACTTGTTTTCTTTGCTAAGACACTTCATCAGCACCAAGGGGCCTCTCAGGTCAAGGCTGGGGAATGCCACTGAGCCAGTAGGAGAGCCAGGCTTGGTCTAGTGACACAGGAGGGACTTCAGCTGAGAGGCTCCGGCCTCTCTGACTCCTCCTCCTATCAGCCCTCATGAGCTCCTTCACTTGGCTTCTCCAGGTTTCCTGTGGCTCCCTAGTTCACATCTCCAGCCCAGCTTCCCTCAGCTTCCAGACCCACGTATCCACAGGCCACTCCACCGTTCTACCTTAGGGTTGTCACTAGCCCCTCCTGTTATCCATGTCCCCTGAAAGCATCCCTCTTCGTTTCTTGCCTCAGTGGTACCAGGAGGCTGCCAACTAGACCACCCAGGAGACATGACTGATTCCTCCCACCCTTCTCATTCTGCCCACTAAATTGTTTAATTCATTCATTTGGTTGTTGAGTGAGTAAATTTTAAGCACCTACTGTGTGCCACTTACTGCGTTAGTTATATAGTAGTCAAGGTCTCTGCTTCTGTGGCTTTAAGTCGAGTTAGGGAAACAGACAAATATATAGGAAATACATGTGAAGTTATGAGAGGGTTTGGTCTGGGGGACAGAGAAGGCTTCGAGGAGGAGCCTGTAAGTGGAGGTCTAAAGGGTGCTTTAGGAGTCAACTAGATCAAGGTCAGGGGGTGGAGGGTTCAATTTCCAAGCAGGCAGAGCACCAGGTGTCTAAGTACTGTGTAGTGGAGATTCAGATGGAGAGAGTATGGAATGGCCTTCAGGAAGAGTGTGGCCTTCTGAGGAGGCCATTATGTCTGAGCTGCATGAATTGGAGTCATAATGATGGGACAGGAGACCAGGGAGGTGGGCACAGGCCCTATCATCAGCATCTTGTAAGGATTTTAGTCCTTTTTGTTTTCTTACAGTACTGGGGATTGCTCTAGCACTGAGCACCATCACCAGTCCTTTTATTTTCTATTTTGAGACAGTGTATCTTTTTGTGGCCGAGGTCTCACTAAATTGCTGAGGCTGGCCTCAAACTTGGGCTCCTCCTGCCTCAATCTCCAGAGTTGCTGGGATTACAGGCGTGTCCCACCACACCAGTGTCCTTTTTCTTTTCTTTCCTCTTTACACCATGGAGCTACATCCTTAGTCCTTTTTAATTTTTATTTTGAGACTTTGATCTCACTAAGTTTCCCGGACTGGCCTCAAATTTATAATTCTCCTCTCTCAGCCTCCCCAAGAGCTGGGATTACAGACATGTACAACCACACCCAACAGATTTTAATTCTTCTTTTAATATTTATTTTAGTTTTCGGCAGACACAACATCTTTGTTTGTATGTGGTGCTGAGGATTGAACCCAGGCCGCACGCATGGCAGGCGAGCCTGCTTCCGTTTGAGCCACATCCCCAGCCCCTTAACTCTTCTTTTAAGAGGATAGAAAGTCTGAGGACTTTTAGGGCAAGAGATGGGTGGGTGGGGAGATTGAGAGATGATAGATCTATGTATAAAACTACTCTGCCTACAATATGGAGAACAAACTGATTGAGCCTGAGTGAATGTGCCGGGGGAAGCTGATCCCACCAGCTTCCTCCTGGCTATCCCTATATCCCTATAGCCACCATCCCCAGTCCAGACTGTCCTTTTCTCCCTTTCTGTCTCTCTCTCTCTCT